AAAGTGTGTGGGCGGAGCTTTTTCTACAATCGCACTGCACTCGCAACAAAGTGGGTAAGTACATAATCTAATTCATAAATATTAAACCATTTTAACATTATTAAAAATACATACCTAGTGACGGGTACAGTCTTTGTTAGGAAATACACTTGTTTATTTATATTGAGTCGACAGTTTTAATGCATGTTTGTTTAAATTTATTTTCAAGATCCGAGTTAAATAGGGTGTTTTCATGACACGTCATCAATCCGGAAGTCGGCCATATTGGTGGCACTGAATGTAAACAATGCCACTGAACCGAACGGAACTTGTGTATGGGCTTGGCGAAAAAAGTAGTTCACTAGAGCTGTTTCCATTTCAGATTTCCGCAAAACTTTTGCGATATTTTATAAATGTCGAAAAAAAAAACTATTGCGAAATGACAGTTTCCATTATATATTTTATTTATAAAATATATAATAGTGTTATGTGACTAAAACTTCATTTTTTTTGCGACAAAACTGTTTCTATTGCAGTTTTTCGAAATATTCCTTTTTTGAATTGCCTGAAAAACCACCTCATGCACGCGTACAAACTTTTTTGCGATATATGGGAGTTTTTGCGAAATTGACATGTTTCCATTGGGGTAATGGAAACGCAGCTTATGTTGGGATAAGAAATAGAAGGAAGAATTGTCGGGTCGTCAGTCCACGACAAAGGAGCCAGCTCGTACGGATCCTATTAACTTTAGTTTGTCAAAATATCACGCCGTTTTCTGCTTACTAAGTCCTTCTCTATATGATTTAGCAGCTTCCACATGTTTTTTCCGTTTAGATATCATAAATTAGTAGAACAACGTCTTAAGTTGTATATTAACTGTGCAATCCATGCTGTTGTTTACATCAGAGTATCTCCAATATGGCCGCGCATCCGGGTAACTGACCAAACCTTGACGTAATTGCATATGTTCTATATTATTCATTGTCGTTTACAATACTGCTAAGGTCACGCAAAATGATATTCAAAATCACATTAGACACATTTAACATTAAATAAAGCACATAATCAATACCTGAGAGCATCATTGTCATTGCTTTGGATGTTCTTCCAGCCATGACTTCGCGGAATAAACCGTTTCCAGAATCACCTGTCATTCGTCGTGTATCGTCGTCGCGTCTGGTTAGGACAAAAAAATAAATCCTGTATCATTATTATTAATATAAACCATCAATATATTATTAAGATACTGTTTACATTCAATTAACATGGAAAAGATACCTTTTATCTTGGTGTTGCATTGCGTCTGGTTAGGACACTGTTTTAGACGTCATTTAAAGTGATACAGAACTAATTACAGCTGAAAAATACCAGGACAAAGTCATACGTCAACTAATAATTTATTTGTATATTTGATTAATTCAGTGGTCATTGCAGTTACGGAGACCGCAAATAAAACGGGTGATGAGAAGAAGAGAAACTCTCCTTGTACATTAGAAGTAAGAATATTCCTCATGTGGTAAACACAAAGTTCATCAAACTGCACATTTACTCATGTATGTACATGTTCACACACACACACACACACACACACACACACACACACTTCACATTTAGACTAATGGAAGTGAATACACACAAATACATACTCATTCATACACAGATATGTAAAAATATACAGTTGTGTGCAAATGTCTGTGGCTAAACTAAACGTTCGGTTTAATATTCCACTTCTGCCATATTTCCGCTCATTTTCGAGCTGTTTATTTGCTGCATTTCTTCAAAGCCAATTTCGCACATGCTCAGTTGGGATGCCAATGCCAGACTGAATCACCCAAACATGAATTGTGGGAACAGTGCCCAAACTTTTGCACACAACACAAATACATTCGCACAAGCAGTCATAGACAGAGCAACCTTCTGCACGTCTGCCGATTCCTTCCAGAAACACAATTCAGTCTTTCTCTAATTGTTCATTTACTTAATTACATCAGGGTCATTAAAACCAGTAATCTGCGCCGCTCATGCAGCAGGAAAGCTTTCGTATTTTTATAGTCTCTCATCCAAACCACTTCCAGCAGTAAAACGAAAATGGAAATTGCTGTGTAAATGACATTTCCTTCGTTAATAACTTGGCATCTCTGCAACCTAGGCTATGTTCAGGGTGGCATACTAGATTCTACTCTAGTGTTTGGTACGGCAGTTTCATCCCTCGGGTTAATCGATTCTGCTTGTGTTATTCTGATTTGTCACTTTGGATAAAAAACCCACATATACAGCATTCAGTCAACTGTTTTTTTTTTTTAACAGTATGTGAAATAGAAACATTCTCACATGACCTCATTATGCAAAGGCCGTCCTGTTGTCATCTTGGTTGTTTTGCATTTTTAACAGAAAGTCATAACAAAAACTAATCTGTTGTATTAATTCCGGTGCATTTGTTACTGCAAATGGAAGGTCAAGTTGAGTGCATTGCATTGTGGGATTCATTGTTACGCAGAGCACTTGGCAGCATTCGGAATGGAATATTATCACGTTATTCATTTTGAGTGAAGTATGTGAAACAGTATTTATTATGGATGATAAACAATATGATAGTTTGCTAATAGTATTCCATTCCTTACATATCTCTAGTCCAAGTATTTGAAAAGGACTTTTGTGTGAAATCAAAAAAAATTTTTTTAGATATACTGATGTATTTGTCCCATCACTGGCACTCAGTGGACAGCACATTCTGAGGTCTGTGTGCATCATGGTGTGTGTGAGAGTTTACCATAGTGAATCTATGGACGCTTGTAAAAAGTATTAACATTTTAACACTACTTCAGTTAACTCTCCTGTTAGTTTAACATTGGCATAAAAAGACTAACTTTTGCATAAACATACAGACAATAAAACAATAAAAATCATGTTATCCTAACAATTAACATGCATTTATTCATTCATCTCTCTCTCAGAAAATGAGAATTATTTGTTGGGCGGAACCAGGCGGTGAATTTTTATTTATTTTTTTTTACCAATAAAAAGGGCCGTTTACTGCTTAATGCAGGAAAGACAGTGTAAAACAAACTTTTTGTACTGAAATACATCTAGACATGATCAGAGTGAGCATGAATATATCTCTAGTTATTCCTTCACTGTACATCGTACTGTACACCATACAATGCAGATACATTGAGGTCCGAAAGTTTAAAAGATTCAAATCTGCCATTTTTATTTAACAATAGAAAAAAAAAAAGAGTTTCAAGAGTGAAAAACCCATAAAAAGCCAAGTTGTGATGTAAAATGTAGAAGAGATATTTGAAATTTGGCACTATTTCTAGTAGTGATAGACTGATAAATGTGGCCATTATCAGCTAAATCATGCTGGAGAACGTGATCTCGGTTGTTCATGTCAGCTACTGCAGAGAGACACACCAAATATCACTAAAGTCTGAAAATGTTCAATGCAAATTAATGCATTTGTAATTCAAATGAAAAAAAGCAAGCAGTCTTAAACGTTTAAGACCCCACTGTATATGTGTGTTTGACACTTTCTCACAGTAAGAGATGCAAACAAGAAGAATACACGTCATTATTCTCGTCTTTGTCTTGTCTCTTAAAACGGTCAGACAGCAGATAAAAACCGAGACATTCAGTAGTAGTAGAAGAGAGAGAAACATTAGCACAGAGCATTAGCCCTGAAACATGCTCTACACAAGTATGCAAACACACTCAATTTCACATGTCGTTAGATTCAGAAATGCATCAGAATGCCATTCATGAAGCTAATCTCATCACTGCCACAAGGGGCGCTATAATACTTTAGCATAAACGGTCTTCTTCTACAGTCAGAGACAGAGTTCTGTTTCAGATCAACTATTGAAATGGTGAAGCAACAGTTTGAAGAGAGTCTGACAGAGGAAACACACACACACTACACAACTTTTGCCCAGATTTTTGCCCCAATTTACAGTCTGAAGGAGTTGATAACAGTTGATAATAGAAAATCAGAGACTTTGGCCAGTCCAAATTTTTAGCTTTAGACTATGAATCCATCCTTTCAAAGGAGATGAAACATATTTGATATTTTGAGGTGATTTTTAAACACATATTGCGTAAAGTTGAGTAGTGTATTCTAGTCTTAAGTTAGATAAGGTTATTTAAACTGTTGATGAACTTATTTCTAGATACCTGAACATAACAACTGGTTATAGTTCACCCAAAAATGAAAATTCGGTCATGACTTTCTTTCTTCTGTGGGACATGAAAAAAGATATTTTGAAGAATGTTGGTAACAGTTGGTAGCCAAACAGTTTCGGTTCCCATTGACTTCCATTGCAATTTTTGTCCATCCAGTGGAAATCAATGGGAACCAGAACTGTTTGGTTAGCAACATTCTTCAAAATATCTTCGTTTGTGGATCACAGAAGAAACGGTTTGGAGGGTGAGAGATTTTTGGTTTCTTGGGTGAACTATCCCTTTAAAGGGGTCATATGATGCGATTTCAATTTTTCCTTTCTCTTTGGCGTGTTACATTTATGGTGCATAAAGAAGATCTGTAAATTTGCAAAGACTAAAGTCTCAAATCCAAAGAGATTCATTCTAACACGCCCCCCACATGTCTACGTCACGATGTGGGAAGATTTGCATAATGCCGCCCAAATGTTCACGGAAAGAAAGAAGGCGTAACTTTTATTCTCGCTGTAGTATTGTTGTTGCCGCCGCCGCCATGTCGTGAAGGCGCTGTGTTTCATTGTGAAAGCGAAACTACTTTGTTTGGTCTTCCAAAAGAGGACGATATCCACTTCGTCATGCCTAGAGCTGATCCGTGCTGGTCGCTGAGGAAATACATCAACTTCACGCTGTGGATCACCGGATCGGCTTTCACCGTGTACGAAGCGGAGTCCAGCCCGGGGTCGTCACATGTGGTTGCCGCAAGCCCGCCGGCCGCGCCGTTCTCAAGCCTGCCAGCCGTTCCTCACTCAAGCCGGCCTCTGCATACGCTAGGCCGCGGCTCACTCTAGGCCTCCGGCCTCCCCGTGTCCACAGGACAGTGGTCAATAATAAAGAGTTCCCTGCCATCCCATCATGCTTTGCTGCACTTGCCTTTCTTCTCTCTGCGCTGGATCTTGCGCAGTCGTCGAGTCCAAATGTCCCTCCACTGAATGACCAGGCTGTTTTTGTCGGCCAGCAGTCCTGGGCGTTCGGGGCTCGCGGCGCCCTCACTCGTGCCCAGGATGAGGAAGCGTTTGCCCATGTGTATCCGCGGACATTTGCAGGCCAGATCCTTCATATGGACCCACAGCACGTGATCGCCTCTCTTCAGTGGTTCTCCGCGGCTCTTGTACACAGACACCAGGCTGATGGCAAATTTGGCCCAATCGCCGACGGTCTCCATGTCCAACACACTGACCTGGACAGCTACACACACACACACGAGAACGATACATCACATATACGCTTAACGGAAAGCTCAGTTTTGCATTAAATCATAACAAATGCTTCTTAAATAAAATGTGACTGAAAGGAAAGAACAGAATGAATGATAAAGGAACTGTACCATAGTCCTTTTTGCAGTATTTCTTCATGTTTATCTTGAGATTTCCCTTCAGTGGTTTACAGTATGAGTCACAATCTGTAAACACAGTCATTTTTAAATTTAAATTTTTTTACAATTAAAATGCACTGTGAATGCACTCTTTTAAAAACACATTAAAACGTGTCTAAATCACTAAAATAACTCAAGCATAAACTCAACATTGTATTTGAATAATGAACTCTATCTATCCATCCTGGTTCAGGCTAGTTTTTGCTGGACCAGCATATCTACACTATTTAGCATATTTAGAAAATGCTGGTCAACTAGCATGCAACTAGCAACTGGTAAAGTTGGTTTACCAAGGCCCACTTGCTGGTTAAGCTAGTTAAGCTAGTTGGAAGCCTTTCCTGGTGTTTTCAACAGGGTATTGTGAGTGTTTTAGAGTGTTTGCAATAGTTGGCATGACTTTAGTGTGTGTGTGTGTGTGTGTGTATGTGTAGCGCTCATGTGGCACACTGTGTGAAGTGTTCATTGACCCAGAAGAGCTGTTGAAAACACACACAATTCCTTCACTTCTCTGCTTTCACACACACACCTCTGTTTCACTTTCACTCATGACAAGGACAGATTGCGAGTTCTCCGCCCCGTTCCACCAGTGTTACGGAGCGAAGCGCCACACAAAAGTGAGCGTTACTTCCTCTGTCTGTCTCTAAACTCTGTTCTGAATGTGTCTGTGTGTGTTTGTGCACCTACCTGCAGGCTCCTCTGTAGTGCTGATCACAGCCGTCGGCTTTATAACAGGGATTTCTGAAAGACACAGTACAGCATGACGTCAGTGTGCGTTCCTGTAGCTCAAATGGTACATTTGGCACTAAAGGTCATGGGTTTGATTCTCAAGAAATGCATGAACTGACAAATGGTAGACTGTGAATACAATGTAAGTCAATTGGATAAAAGCATCCACCAAATGAATGCACTTAAATCTAATTGTGCAGGTGTGGAGAAGGTGTTTGATTGACAGACTGTGATTTACACACCTGCTGCCTTACTATGTGTGATAGCTAACCATATGTTCACTTAGCTATACTTCGAAGACAAAATTGTCCCTAAAAGTTCATCACATCTATCAAAGTGTGCCAACCAGACATAATGCAATTAGTTTCCAGACAAAAAATAAAATAATATAAAGTTAAATTACATTAAATAAAATAAATTATAAATAGATTTAATCTCCATGAATTCACATTTGCTTCATATCTCAATACAGTTTGCAATTTTGTCTTCCATGCATGTTGTGAACGCTCTCTCTCTCTCTCTCTCTCTCTGTTCATTAACTAAAACTAAAAGTATAAAAACTGTTTTCATCAGAAATTGAACATTTCAATAAAAAAATAATCAAGTTACAAACAATTCTCTTTTTAAACTAAAATAACTAAAACTGAAATAAAAATGACTAAAAACTATATATATATATATATACGTGTGTGTGTGTGTGTATATATATATATAAACAGAAAATATAGAAATAACAGTTAAAAAAATATACAATTCTAAATATTTATAAAAACTATAACAATCTCAATGACAAAATATACATGCTTACTCGTACCTTGGGGCTCCTGATTCGTAAAAATGATACATAAATAAAGTGAATAATGCTTTTTTTGTAATGCAAAAACTTTTCTGTCAGGGTCGGGTGTCAGTTTGGGTTAGTATTAGTCATTGTTTTTATAAAAAATATAAGTTAATAATACATCTCCATGTAGACTGATAAACAACTGTGTGTGTGTCACTCACTAATGCACGGGGCGACGGGCGATCGGCTCTGCTGATACCCTTTAGCACAGCGGTTGCATGTGATGCCAGTCACCCCGTCTTTACACGGGCACTGACCCGTCGTCTGGTTACATGTTTTACCTGCAGCTCCCACACACACACACACACACACACACACACACACACACACACTGCTATATCTCATTTAAAGTCAGATGGCTCAATATTATATTAAATTAGGTGCTGTATTACAGGAATTACACATAGTAACCGAAGTCTCCCACAACAACAAACAAAGAGTCACAGCATGGAAAATGGTTTCATACTGCGTAACATACTTGAACACTCACAATGCAATATTAAAACTACAGCAACAACAATGGCCCGTTCAGAAATCATCATGTTATGATGCCAATACCAAGAGCTGCTTACACTACCAGTCAAAAGATTGTGCATATCTAATTATTCTTTAATATAACCATTTTTTAAGTTATCCAAACTATGACATGAAAAAAGTGTGGGAAACATATGGTGACAAATAAAATGAAATAATTATTTGTTATTAAATAAATACAAATAAATAAAAAATGTATTAAAATTAAATTAAATTACATTAATAAAATAAATAAATATAATTTATATGAATTCATATTTGCTTCAGGTCTCAGTGCAGTTTGCAATTTTGTCTTGCATGTGAATTCTCCAAGTGATTTTTATTTTGGCACTGTCTATTTCAAAATATTGTGGCTAATATTTGTTAACAGTGTGAATGTAAAGTCCAGATTCAAGTTCAGAGAAAAGAAAACCTTTTTTTCTTCTTTTTTTCATTTTCAATGTCATATTTTCATTTATAGACCAGTATTACTTTAGTGTCATTGAGATACTATTATACATTTTGTGTTTGAATTAGTTTTTATTTTATACTTCCTGTTTTTATTTTAGTTAAAGTTTTAGTAATTTTGTTTTGGGTTTTTGCCATTTTTTGTCTATATAGAATTTATTAATTTTTATTTCAGTTTTAGTTATTTTAGTTAAACTAAATGAAAAATAGAAATGTTGAAATAAAATGAGGTAAATAAATAAAGATAAAAAAAAATGTATATTTGATTTTATATTATATGCGATTCACCAGTAACTCTGGATTTTGGGCAAAAAAGTGAACAGTTTTATAATTATAATGATGGTATTAGTGTTGTCCATACTAATGTTTAAGCATGTGTCTACATGTGTATGTGCACTGATGCGAAAATGTGTGTTTCCTCTCTGTGTCGAGACTCTCAAAACACACACACACACACACACACACAGAGATAAGGTTTGAACAGCTGTGGCAGCTGCAGGTGAAGCTGGACGGTCCAGAGATCGAGCTGTGACTTCATCTGTCTGTGTGTGTGTGTCTGTGTGTGTGTGTGTGTGTGTGCAGGTGGAATTTAAGGAATTCTCAGGTGCTGTATCACAGTAACGCTGATAAGAGTCTCAGCGCTCAACATGGGCGTTATCAAATTAACACTGACAGCACAACAAAAGAGCACCTGATTGACGCGCATACACACATTCATTCAGTCAAGTACAAATGTCATACTGAAAAAGGTTCAGGAAGCCACAAACACTCTTATGCAAGAGTAGCTCTGGTTCTCGTTACCAGCACACTCAACCAAATGCTATTGAGGTCATTTCAAACCAGCAGAGAGCAGCAGAAACAACTAGACTTTTACAATTTATGAAAGCAAACATAAGACGCTTGTGACGCTAAGGTGGTCTGCTTGCTTCCCAATTTTTCTGGATTCCGTTTGTTTTCCGTTTTAATTTTTCTAGATTCTGTTTTAATTTCAGTAATTCAATTTTAGTGTTAGAATTTAATAAAAGTTTAATAAGTTTACATTTTTAGGGCCCTAATCAATCTGAAAAAAAAATGTTTTGTTTTATTTTTTTCTGGATTATGGTTTAATGTTAGTAATTAAATTTTAGTGTTACAATTTTACAGCAATTTATTAACAGTTTAACAAACATTACATTTTTAGGGCCCTAAGAAATCAATTTTTATTATTTTTCCCAAATTCCGTGTTTTCTGTAATTTTATGGATTACATTTGAATGATTTCATTCAATTTTAATAATCAAAAAGCATATCTAATCAATTTAACTCATAAGACTTTGATAATTTTATAATTTTTGACAATTTTTTACAACAGCCCTGTGAAATGTTTCATTTTTTTTAGTAATAAATATTTGTTTAAATCTGAATGAATGATTTTATACTAATTTATTATCAAAAACTGTGGTAGTCAAATAAAGGCATAAAACATTAACAGTTTAATCAATCTTCTAAAATGTGATCAAAAGAAAATATACATTTTATTTTTTTTTGTCAAACTGGCAGGCAAGTGCTGCAAAAAAAGCTGTACTGTTAAAATGCAATAATAATTTCAATATTATTATTTTATATTTCTGTCATAGTTTAACAGTTTAATCAATCTTCTAAAATGTGATCAAAAGAAAATATACATTTTATTTTTTTTTGTCAAACTGGCAATAATAATGCAATAATAATTTCAATATTATTATTTTATATTTCTGTCATAGTTAAAACAAACTTATTTTGACGAGTTGTTGTGAAGAGTTTTCAGTCTGTGCGTATATGACTCGCAGAACTACAGACTACATATTTAAATATCAGTCTTTTGAGCTTGAGCTAATATTCACACGACACGAGTCCATATTTCCATTTAAGTTTATAGTCCTACTTTTGATTTATTCATCCAGCATTTGCCAAATTCCATTACATTTCGTGTTATACTGTAAATTCCATTTTTATAACTGGATTCCGTTATTCTATCTGCGTTTTCCACATCACCGAAACCCATAGGGCTCTACACCACTAATAATAATGATATTTCATACACACACACACACACACTCACACTTTATCACTGTTAATTATTGCACATATAAACCATATCACTGATCCAGGTGAATACATTTCAACTCTTGGCACAGAAATTGCACATTTTTCCAGCAGCCTCAAAAGCAGAATTACTGATTGATAGTTTCGTAGGAAGCAGACGTTTCATGCTGCATGCAATTTAACTTACAGAAATCCCTCTACTTATGGACTGACTTTTCCGTCCAGAAATTCTCAACTTACAAGACATCTTTTATCCAAACACTTCAATTTTTCTCAAACTCTGATGTGTGTTTGCTTTGGCCGGTGTGACGGCAGCAGATATATGAGCTTCATGTACAGGCTGCTCCCAATGCACACCGGTCCTGGTGTGGTTTTATTGACATGTATTCTATTTTTATATTTATATATATATATATATATATATATATATATATATATATGCTACTGATTTTGGGTGGAAGTTTTCTAGCTGGAAACAGTGCATAAAACATTTTACACACATAAATACATTTTTTCACCCATAAATAAACAGCATGTTTTTAAACCATAAAAATGACTGAGTCACAGTGAGAAAATAAAGACAAGTGACTCTTATGTAACGCAGTAAGCTATAAAACCATGTATAAACACATCCTGCATACAGTTTTCAAGGTCCAAAATTAAATAAATAGTGTTAAAGATCTAGACTAGGATTTCACAAACTCTTTTGTCACGAACCTCTTTGACTTAATATATTTACTTGAAGATGCACAAGTTAATATTTCAACTAATTTAACAACACATTTGCATGTTCACGGTTAATGGTCAAATGGCTTGCAAGTAAATAAATAAAATATCTGATTGTGTTTTATGTTGATTGTTTTTATTTTACAATTATTTATTATATCATAATTATAAGTATAATATATATTATAATTATTTATTTAAATTTGTATGATTTAATAATCAGCTTTTAATAAACACATGAACCCACTACATGAACAACACTGCCCAAAAATAATACATAAATGTACGAAAATCGCCATGTTATTGCTCAATACCATCATGTATAAAGGTTTGTGTAAGTACTTTAAACAGCTGTAAGTGATTTTTTGGAACACAACACATAACATGTCGCTATTAATTGACAGATATCCTCAGAAATCACACTTGAATTTCAAAGTTTTTCAAATTATTTGTATACTATAGCTCTTGGTTCTGTAAACAGCAAAAAATGATCTGACAGCAGCCCATTACACATTAACCAGTAAGAAACATTGTCCTGTTTATTTGAGTGGTCCCAAATTGTTTGGGATGGGACTTCCTGTTTTTATAGCGGAAGGGAAAATCTGCTTGGAAACGGTCATTCATTTTGTAAATTCGCATGTTGCCACTAGGGGCGCTGAATGACACACAGCTGCTGTAAATGAGATCGACTTCTTCATTTTTTGCATCACTTTGCAATTCAACAAACAATTTTGACTCACTGGAGTTTAGAGGTGAAGGAATAAAAACAAAAATCGCTTTTTGAAGATATAGACATGAATATTTATGGAAGCCTGTTTCCGCCACTGAATAAAAAATAAAAAAAGGTAATTGCAACTTTATATCTAGCAATTCTGATTTGTTTTCTTACAATTGCGAGTTTGCAGCTTACAATTCAGATTTTTTTTCGAGGGATATAAACTCACAATTGAGAGGAAAATAAGTCAGAATTACAGGATATAAAGTCGCAATTGCATGTTATAAAGTCAGAACTGTGAGATATAAATTCACAATAATATGTCGCAAGTCTGACTTTATTTCTCACAATGGCGACTATTTCACAGAATTGTAACTATTTCTCAGAATTGCAAATTTATTTCTCAGAATTGAGTTTATATCTAGCCATTCTGACTTTTTTTCTCCGAATTACGAGATTAAATCTCGCGATTTGACTTTTTTCTTGCAAATGCGAGTTTATATCTCGCAACTGCGACTTTATTTCTCACTATGGCGAATATTTCTCAGAATTGCGACTTTATTTCTCAGAATTGCAAATTTATTTATCAGAACTGAATTTATATCTAGCCATTCTGACTTTTTTTCTCCGAATTACGAGTTTAAATCTCGCAATTTGACTTTTTTCTTGCAAATGCGAGTTTATATCTCGCAACTGCAACTTTATTTCTCACTATGGCGAATATTTCTCAGAATTGCGACTTTATTTCTTAGAATTGAGCTTACATCTAGCCATTCTGACTTTTTTCTCAGAATTACGAGTTTAAACCTTTTTTCTTGCAATCGTTTATATCTCGCAATTCTGACTTTATTTCTCAGAATTGTGACTTTATTTTTTTAGAATTGTGAGTTTATATCACGCAATTCTGAGAAAAAATTCAGAATTGCGAGAAAAAAGTCAGAATTGTGAGATAAAAAGTCGCAGTTACCTTTTTTATTTTTTATCCAGTGGTGGAAACAGGCTTCTATAAATATCTGATGTTAACTGTAGATCTAACAGTAAAAGATAACGAGTGTCGTACCTTTGCAGGCTCGGCGGTGTGTGATGGGTTTGCCCATGTCTCTGTAGAATCCCTCTTTGCAGTAATGGCAGTGGCGTCCGGCGGTATTGTGTCTGCAGTTCATACACACTCCTCCACTCTTACGGCCTGAGAGCTTATACAACTCCATGTTAAAGCGACAGCGCCGCGCGTGCAGGTTACAATTACACGCTATAAAGAAAGACAGGGTGAACATGTTATCGATTGAAGTTACATCTCACGCATATGTGCATATGATGTTTTTTCTCAAAAAGATAACAGTTTGAGACATACAATATCAGTAAAAGGATTTTACAGTCTGACACTACAGGAGAAGCTTTAGATCTCCACAAGGAATGTTTTATATATTTTAAGAAAGTCATCTGTGTTCTGGTGCTTTAAAGAAACTAGAAAGCAAAACACTGGTCTGAGGAACCTGTAATGAAACAAACTTTACTAGTCTCCAAAGAACCATACAGCAACTCAAGAACTCTATACAGCCCAAAAAAAAAGGTTCTTTATATATACTGAACCTTTATTTTTTAAGTCAACATGAAACAATGTTTGCAACCCATTTTACTTGTTTAATGTGATGTATTTCAAAGAGTTTTCAGTGTTGGACTAAATAGTTGTTTTAATATTGCTTAAAATGAACCAAAAAGGAATGTTGTTTCAAAAGCAGTTATTCCAGTTTGTCATTCCAAGGTTACTGCAATTTGATGAAAATAAAAATAAATACCATATACCACATCAATTAAACCAGGAACATGAATTTAAAAAGTATAGGGTCAATTTTGATTTCATGTTGACTTCACAGATATAGCATTCATAGATCCAGAGCAAAATGTAGTTGTGTATATTTATACACATATATTTAATTATTTATTTATAAATATAAATATATGTATTTAATATATTATATTAAAGGCATATGTATATATATATATATATATATGTGTGTGTGTGTGTGTAAACTGTATATGTACATATGTACATTTTATATATATAATATTTATAATACAATAAATAAGATATAATAAGACAAAATTATATATTTGCATTTATGATTTATTATAGAATTAAATAAAGAAATATATCAGGTAAACTGGAACAGTTTTTGCAATAGAGAGTAACATATTCCCAAATATCCTGAATTAACACTCTTTATCCTGAATTTTATATATATCCATTATATAATATTATATTCAAATATCTGCTCTAAAAAGTAAATGGGTTTATATTTGAAATGCCTACCTGTTTCATTTCAGTGTTTAACGTTGTCTGTGTGTGTGTGTGTGTGTGCGTGTGTGTTTGTGTGTGTTATTACAGGGCCAATTTGTATGGAATTCTGTGGTTAATGAAACTTGCTCGGGCCATTCCCTCACACACACCATCTGCTGCTCTGTTTGAGTGTGAGTGTGTGTGTGTGTGTGTGTGTGTGTGTGTGTGTGACGGGGCTCACGAAAAGGGGGTGTAATTTCAGGGGGTTTCAGGGCTAAAGTCAACAGGGTGAGATTACAGCAAATTCACCTCGATAAACGTCTGCAGGCGATGTGTGTGATTGTGAGTGTTGTCAGGGTGTGTGCATTTCTCCAAATGAAATTCCAAACGTGTGACAAAAAGAGCACACATATTCACACCCAAATAAAGCACTACACAGTCACACACGCACAAGACAGAGATTGAATTATTAAAGCATACGTTCTAAATGTGAACACCTTCTAGGGCGTATCCAGATGGGGCCTGAATTGAGCGGAAAGGCTTTGGAAACGAGCACTGGTTTGCTGTTATCTCTCAGCGCTGCATTTGTGCCTTGAGCGTGGTACTTAATCTAAAGTTGTTCCAAGGGTCTTTCTCAATGGCACCCTTCCTCTATTACAAGAGCTTTCCAAACACAGCTGAAAGCACTCAAACCTATTAACCTGAGGTTAGAGCAAACCCAGAACTAGAGCAGAAACGTTAGTTTGATGGAGCGTGCACTACAGGTATGCACAGAACTACACCCAGAAACATATTTCTGTAAACGCCATACATCTTACAGTTAATGTTGTGAAAATTAGAACACAGACACGTATAACTCTACATATGTTTTGGATTATAATGTCTAAATTAATATGATTAATTAACTGTACAAACTAATTGTAATTATACTAATATTGCTGTACAGTCAAACAATATAAAAATACTAACTGCTGTTACCATTTGCTGGTCCCCATTGACTTCCATATTATGGAAAAAAAATACTATTGAAGTCAATGGGGACCATCAACTTTTTGGTTATCCACATTCTTCAAAGCATCTTCTTTTGTGTTTAGCAGATGAAATAAATTTAGACAGATTTGGAACAACTTGAGGGTGAGTAAATGATGACAGAATTTCATTTTTGGTTAAAATTGAAATTCAAATCTCTAACCTAAAGTATACGCAAGAGTGATAGTGATGCTTGTCTCAGTGAATGCCGCTAATAAAAAGCACCAAAACCGCAGAATAACACCTTCCACAGAACATCACCTGTACGTTTTAACACGCATATGTTTTATCAACTAGGAATAACAGCTCATTTAAAATTCCATCCGTGGTTTTATGTGAGCATAAATATCAGAACATTTGGCTCACAGGTGTTTCTAATTGATTAGGCGTTTCCTGTTGCGTAGATTGTTCACACATGAAAGAGCCGTGAAGTCTCTCGTCTCCGTTCAGATCTTTTGTTTTCTGCCTGTGAGAGAAAAGTGAGTGATTTTGGATTCCAAAAGAGTTAGGAAAATTGGGAAAAGTCATAACACAAGAGTTGGGTGTAGTCAAAACAGCAATTTGGCAGTGAAGCTGCTTTGAAACTTTTGAAACTGTAGCTGGTCGAGCTACAAGCTACTCATAATTTAAATTACAAACAAGCTACTTGAAAAGAAACGGCTAATTTCTCTGAATGGCCAATAACTTTATTTTTTGCACACACAACAGTATTTATCTGGCACAAAAACAATGAGAATCTCTATTAGGGTGAGAGCATTAAACAAATCAATTTACATTTAATACAACTAATATGGTATGCTTTGTGGTGTGTCATCTTTTAGTAGTTGTACTTAATGTAAACTGATTTGTTTAATGCTCAGTTGAGATCCTCATATATATACTGTATATATATAATATTTAGCTACAAAAAAAACACACATAAAAAGTCATGTGTAAAATGTCTTCGACGCAGGGCCTCAAATGAATCAGTTAATCTGATTCATTTTAGTGAATCAGTTCATTCGGATGATCATCTGAACAAAAGTGTTCATGTTTTTCAAGTGGTTTGCAAAAAGTGATTTACATAAAATGTCTGAACGAACCAATTCACTACAATCTTCCTGTCGCTATAGGAGGGAAAAAAGGACAGATAATAATAAATAAATAAAACAACTGTCAGTGAAACAAGTAACAATCTCCAGAACACTGTACGAATCCTGCCAGGTTCGTTGGCAAGCCCTTCAAAAACACAACAGGATGGTGATTCAAAACATCCAAAAAAACAGGAAAATGTCGATTAGTCAAGTCAATCTCGGCCTTTGGCGGACATGTTTTTAATCTTTTAAATTTCTATTCAACTGAACAGGCATTTCACTTGCTGAAGAGTGACTCACTTCCAAACTCCCAGAAACAGGCAACAGCTGGAAATTTCTTCTCTGAAAGTTTGGCACAGGACAATAGCGCAAGACTTGCGACGTTGATGAGTTACAGACACGCCGCCGCTATTTCATGCTGGAGATCTCTGACTAAACTCTACATTTTATATGCTTTATATTTGTTTTGAAATGTCATGATACTTACGCTCACATAAAATGGAGTAATAGGGCGCTGAGAGTGCTTTTATTTATTAATTTACTTAATTGGTTACATGTGTTTAGACGAGCCAAACATAAAAGGTGGCATTTCGTATTTTTGGTTTACAGGCATCTTTCAGACTGTTTAGATACTGCTGGAGTGAACAGGAAATAATACAAATCCAGTCCAAATTTCTAGATGGCTTTGGTTTTACAAGAGCACAAACAATTTTTTTAACAACTTCTTCGACAAATGTGTCCTTTGAATCGTAGCACGCAAAGAAACAAAACGACAAGCTAGTTCCAAGACACATAATCGTTGGCAGACTAACAAATAAACAGGAAGATAAACATATCTCTACAGGGTTTCTCTACAGCGTCACAGCTTTATATCATTAACGCTCTGTGTGGCGTTTTTTTTATCCTCGGAAGCAGCATGTTTTGGTTTGTGACGTATAGGAAATCTAAGGCAGTAAAAGTGGGCTTGTGTGTATGTTTAATGAGGATATGGTTAGTACTCATTTTATCAGTGTCCTGTGCAGGTGGCCGTGACTGGCATACATATACACACATACACATACACTTTATTATATTACCCTAGCAACCGCATAGCAACTCACTAACAACCACTTAGAACTCCTTAGTAACTGCATATCAACACACAATCAAGCACTTAGAACACACCAGCACCCGCATAGCAACTCATTACTAGCAACTCATAACACCCTGGCAACTGCACTAATTACCACTTAGAACATCTTAGAAACTGCATAGCTAACACTAACAACACTGAACAGATACCCAGAACACTCCAGCAACTGCATAGCAACACATTAACAATCACTTAAAACACTTTAGCAACATAGCAAAATACTAACAACCACATAGAATACCTTAGAAGCTGCATAGCAATGCACTAACAACAAAGATCAGTCCAGCAACCACATAGCAACAGCTGCTCAGAAAAAAAATAACTTTATATCAATGCACTAACTACCACTTTGAACATCTTAGAAACTGCATAGCTAACACTAACATAGAACACCCCCAGCAACCACATAGCAATGCACTGATGTTTAGATGTTCAGAACCATCCAGCAGCTAAGTATAGCAACACATTAGAGGGGTCATATTTTGTAGAAAACAACGTGTTTGAGAGAGGCGGGGCATAGAGGACCTACAATAATGTAAAGTATTTGAAAAATTATGTGTTTTTTGAACATTAAAGCATGTCAACATATTCTGTTACACCAAATACACAAAATAATGATCTTTAAAAAAGCATCATATGACCCCTTTAACACTGACCTAAACTAGCATAGAACACCCCAGCAACTGCAGATCAACAAATTAACACTGACCTAAAATATCCCAGCAACTGCATAGCAACACACTAACACTCACTTAGAACACCTCAGCAACTGCGACAACCACTTAGGACACCTTAGAAACTGCATAGCAACGCACTAATGACACAGATCAGCCCAGCAACCACATAGTCACAACAGCCACCCAGAACACCCAGGCAACTCTCACCAAGAACACCCCAGCAACTGTATAGCAACGCATTAACACTGACCTAAAACATCCCAGCAGCTGCATAGCAACACATTAACACTGACCTAAAACACCCCAGCAACTGTATAGCAATGCATTAACACTGACCTAAAACATCCCAGCAACTGTATAGCAATGCATTAACACTGACCTAAAACATCCCAGCAACTGCATAGCAACACATTAACACGGACCTAAAACACCCCAGCAACTGCATATCAACACACTAACACTCACTTAGAACACCCCACTAACTGCAACGACCATTTAGGACACCTTAGAAACTGCATAGCAACGCAATAATAACATAGATCAGCCCAGCAACCACATAGCAACACCCTTTCAACTAAAACATCTTAGAAACTGCACAGCTAACACTAACATAGAACACCCCAGCAACCGCTTAGCAGCACACTGACAAGCACTTAGAAACTGCATAGCAATGAGCTAATGACACAGAACACCCCATCAACTGCATAGCAACGCATTAACAGTCAGCTAGAACACAACTGCATAGAAATGTAGTAACAACTACTTGGAAAGCCTTAGCAACCACATAGCAATGCACTAACAGACATTTAGAAAACCTAGCAACCACATAGCAACACACTAACAACCACTCAGAAGAGCTAGGCAACTGCATAGCAACACATAAACTCACAGGCAGAACACCTTAGCAACCACAAAGAATCACTCAAACACCCACCCGCGCAAGAAACTGCAACAACCACTTAGAAACTGCATAGCAAAGCACTACTGACACAGATCAGCCCAGCAACCACACTAACAGCCACCCAGAAAACCCCAGCAACTGCATAGCAACAGTATTTGTTCATAGAGGCAATCATTAAACACATTTTCTACAGTCAAAATGTTTGATTTAAGTGTCAGAGCCTCTGTTTGTGGTCGGCCACTCATTAGTCTGCTATAACTCTGCTAATCTCTCTGTCCTTGTTCTCTCAGCTGAATGGGGGGATGATTTTAACGAGATCACACTCAACCACTGACAGGTCGGGCACAAAATCGGCGGGAGTCCTTGGCGTGTGTCGAGGCGAGAAAACAAGGGAGTGGAGCGTGTAGTGGGGGTCAGTCAGAGACGGGGCCACCAAACCACAGCAGATGGCACGAGGAGAGACAGAGCCAGAGGTGAGAGGAGACAAACGCAGAGAGCTGCCAATCAAATTCTGCATTTCATTAAGAGAAAGAAAAATAAACTATCTGCAAACTCTCAGAGATGTGTAGAGAGAAGCACACGGGAAAAAAGGCCGAGTGGACAGGAAGAATTAGACGAGGCAGAGAGATTTATGAGAGACATTAGTGATACTAATGAAGTGTCAGGACTGCCCAACTGGAGCATTTGGACACAATATATCTCTCCTGACACAAAGATTAATACATTTACACCATTCGGCTAATTTTTCGTTGAGCAATTATACTGCCGTCTGATAAGATAAGATAAATATCTGCAGCTGCTACTGATCTTTAACATATGGGTAGATGTACATCTGCAGATAGTTGCTAGAATCCTTATATAAACTACTGTTATGTTTTGGTACATTGATGGTATCAGATAACCATGGCACTTTACATTTTTCTTTGAAAGGTACTTCAAAGAGACTGTGTGCAAAAAAGACAAAACAATCATATATGGTATTAAATAATGATACCATAGGTAGAGCCCGCAAGTATATGCATCTTAAAAAAGAGAGAAAAAAAAGAATGTACAGTACAAAACACAGCCAAAAATTATATATATATATATATATATATTTATTTATTTATATATATACTTTATTTTTTTACAGGTCAGTAAATGTAACTTTCAGGAAATAAAAAAGTTATATAAGCTTTTAAAAAAAAAATTTTTTTAAACTGTTCATTTCATAAAATAAAATAAAATAGTACATTTAAAAACAAAACTATCCCAGAATGGGTAATTTCATATTTAGATTAAATAAATTGAGCTTAATTTAGCTTAGGCTGTCACTCTATAGGGGTTATATAGTTTTTGACCAAATGTTGGTTTGTAGTTAGTGATAAACTTTTTACATTAAACTAAACAATATTTAACATAAATTAACTGATTTTTTTTTTTTTTACACATAAACTGTAGCTACAAAGTCAGATTCACTGAGCAGAAAGTGTTTGTGTTGCTTTACAAAACCCTATATTGCAAAAAGTGTTGATAAATATGTGAATTTTTTTTTTTTTATCATTTATAGGTGCATTTTAAACCTTTTCTGCACAGTTTAGTGCACTATGGCCATCAAAAATACGCTCACACTTCTGTTTCTGCTACACGGCACTGCTCTGCTTCAGCAGCCAATGTGAATTCAGTGTTAATATGGCCACCAAAATAAATAAACGCTGCTTTTGCACGCGTGTGAAATAGGCCTAGTACTCTCACACTGCTGTCAGTAGAGTTCGGCTCTAAGCGTGGGCTTTTCAGACATGGTCTAAGAGACGAAGTTTATGTAAAGATTAACATACTGCAAGACATACACAAACACACATCTCTGTCCTGCACTCGTGTGTCAGTCTGTATGTATTCAATGGAATGTATCCAGCATTAATACTAATACACCCGAAGTCAAGCTTATAAATCAAGTTCAGATGTGAGATGCGATGAGAATTAACCTTCACGTTTTTGCCAAGAGCTCATTTCATAACACCACACTGTACTGTAGCTCTGTTCTGAAATGTAGTGAGCTGCCTACCTAGACAGCAACTCCAAAAGGTTAGCAGCATAAATATGCTGCTTTCAACACTTTATTTTGATTTATCTTTCTCAGAAAATTCCAGAATATACTGCAACAAGCTCCAGTGAAAAGTCCGTTCAATATGGCGGACAGTTCGAGAGAAATGCAAAATATAAACATACAGCAGTTCTAGTGTTTTTTGGTTGGTAATTTGGTTGGCCCAGTGACAATTGCTGATATTTAGCATAACATTTCATTCAATACTGAATTGTAGAAAAAATATATAATTAAATGTAATACACAGTTTAGCCTATTTTACACAAGACTTGTATGTGTTGTGAATTTTCATCAATAGTTTAGCAAAATGCTACCATTGATTTCAATTGAGTTTGATGGTAGATTTTTGCTAAGCTGCATATGAAGAATAGTCCAAATCATTGGCAATTAAGGCCCTTCAAACTAAGAATGATAACTATAAAGATATGATGACAACATTAGCGTCCACACCATTGCATGATAATATTCTGTTCATTATAAGCATGCACTGCTGTTTTATCGTCTGCTACTTTAAATGCTCAAGCTCTTGAGTTGGGTGGATTCTGACTGTCAGTGTTTTTATCAACTTGAAAAATCGTTCTGAATCATTCCTCTGTGTCATTATCGTTATAGCTGTGGTGTGGACTTCGTTATTCTCATAGAATAGGAATGATTATTAAACTTTATAAGTGTAGTTATCCTTGTTGTGAACGAGCCTTTAGGATAGTAGGCAGTAATCATCAAGGCAGCTCACTAGGGGCCAGATTTACTAAACAGGACAAATTAGCGTGAGACCACAATCTCATAAAAGTGCTGATGCGATTGGAAAGTTCTACAGGTGATCTACTGACAATGTGCAAATTCAAGAACAGCCAGCAAATTTCCATAACGATCAATGCAATTTACCACGAGCAGCGCAAATGAGCAACAGCCGCAGCCGTGTCAAGTGCAAATGGGTTAAGACATGCTTTTTCGGGAGTTAAATAATAGCACAAATACCAGTAAATTGACTACCGCAAACCTTAGTAAATCACATTGTGTGATTTATTTAAATAATCTCCTCCCATAAATTTAGCGTCTGACAGGGAAACTCTATAAATGCATATGCAATAAGATCAGTTGCAAAAGTAAATGTATCCACGCCTTTTCATCGCTAATTTTTCACTGCGTGACTTCCTGACAGAAGTGTTTTAAGGTTTTGCGCTGGTACAAGCTGCAAGTAAAGCTGGCTCTAGGTTTTGGAATAGCTAACGAAGATTGAACAACTACCACATTTAAAAAAAACCACACCAGTCTGTGTGCAACTTACGTAAGCACTCGTTGGCTTCTTTCGCTGTCGCGCGTTGCCAGGGCCGGTCGTAGTGAAACGGTTTGCAGCGGTCACACTCCGGACCCTCTGTGTTGTGTTTGCATTCACACACCAGTTTCCCATCCTTCTCTCGCACACACCTGGAGGCATGGCCGTTACATTTACACCTCCCACCCACTTGGAAGTCACCAACCGCGTAGTAATAAGTAGGCAGGGTTCCGAGCGGTCCGAGAGGGTCTTCGCTCTCGCTTCCCGATATGGGCAGTGCTCTAGGGTGCTGCGGACGACTGAAGACCACTCGAATGTCAGTGACCGTCACCCAGTCCTGCAGAACAGGGCTCGAGTCGAAGTCCTTTCCTGAAGGGCGACCGTCCAGCGTACTAAAAGCGATAAGGCCGCCGGAAAGCGGGTAGAGATCGGTGTGTCCATCTGTACATAAAGCTTCCTGCTCGTTCTGCTTGGTGATCGTTGCTTTGTTGGGCCGGTTGTACATGCGACGGCACTGCGACGAGTAAAACTGGTAGGGTGTCCAAGTACGGCCGTAGTCCATGCTCTTATAGATGGCCAGGGACTCGGGCCGCGGGGAACAGAACTGCAGGCTGACATATGTGATCTCGAACTTCTTCCCGAGCGACAGCGTGAGCGTCACATTGAGCGGCGAGCCCTGCAGGTTCTCCGACTGCCAGCAGGTGAGGTTGTGGGCGGAGTTTAGGTCGGTGAGGTAGGAGGCAGGGTGGGCATGGCGAGGGTCCGATGCATCACAAACCTGACACGTACGCACAGCGGGATGGTCATCGCGTTCCACTATACTGCAGGAGTGAGACGGCGGCCGGCCGCATGCGCTCGACACGATGACCTCTTGGCCGAATGCTGCATTGATGAACTCTGGGATACATCGGCGGGCGACGCCCGTCTCGTCATAGCAAGGGTCTGTCGGTGTCACTTGAGGCCCGGTGAATGGGTTCAGACTGTGACTGGAGGCCCAGCGAAGTTTATGAAACAGAGTAATCAGAGAAAGCAAGTTCCAAAAACTCCTCATGATGTCACGGGAGAGAATGATGACTGTGGGATGGGGAAGGGAAGGAACGTATCCAGATGGATGGGTAGAGAGAGGGGGAAGTCAAATAAACAAATATGGCTGTAGCGTCTCTTCAGACTGCCATATGTGTGATATCTTGGTAAGACGACCTGGCCAGAAAATGTCCAGTGGATAGACGACTTTCCCAGGACCAATTCTCGGCAGTGCGTGTCTGGAAATGGAAAGGCGCAAAATGTCAACTATATTTATACACCATAAGATTTATATTAGTACTTCAAAGGACCATGTTAAAAAAATGATGTTACTGCAATGATCCCATAATACAAATGAAGTGCACTGAATACAATAAGGTAAAAAAACAAGGCCTAAAAAAAACTTTTTTCAACAAATAGTCCATGAAAAGTGGTGCTTAACTTTTAAAAATGTAAAAAATACTAAATTTAAAAATAAATAAATAAATACATAAAAATGTGAAAATAACAATAAATAAAATTGATTATACATTTAAAAATAAATAAATACATTAAAAAAATTAAAATAAAATAAATAAATGTGTAATAAATAAAATAAACTTAAAAATGAATAAAATACATTTAAATACAAACAAACAGATAGTTATGTACAGTATTCAGCCTAAATTCAACTGTCACTCAATAGGGGCTAGATAGTTTTGGACCAAATGTTGGTCTGTAGTTATTGATAAATTCAAAGCACTAAATCAAATACTACACTAAAAAGGGACATCAGTGAACTGTTAAAGGGGTCATGTGATGCGATTTCAATTTTTTCTTTCTCTTTGAAGTGATACAAGCTCTTGGTGCATAAAGAAGATCTGTAAATTTGCAAAGACTAAAGTCTCAAATCCAAAGAGATATTCTTTATAAAAGTTAAGAGTCAACCACGCCTACCTAAAACGGCTCGTTCTAACACACCCCCACAGGTCTACGTCACGATGTGGGAAGATTTGCATAATGCCGCCCAAATATTCACGCAAAGATTTTTCAGACCGATGAGCTTTGTAAAAATCGACGCGTTTCAGAAAGCCGGGGCATAGAGGAGAAACAATAATGTACAGTATGTGGAAAATAATGTGTTTTTTGAACCTTAAACCGCATAAACACATTTTATTGCACCAAATACACAAAATAATGTTATTTTTAGCAACATCATATGACCTCTTTAAATAATGTTAAATATATGTAGCTACTTTATATAAGTTGTTTGGTAGTTTTAAATATTTTGCAGCTGAAACGTTTTGCAATCATTTGTAAAATTCACTGTCATGATGCTACTCTGATGTGTGTGAAGTCCATGACATCGCTATGCAGTTGCAAAGGTGTTCTAATTAGATTTTAGTGTGTCGCTATGCAGTCGCTAGGGTTGCTAAGTGATTGCTCACAGACCCGAATCAAAAGTGTTCACCCTCGAGTCTCTAGATCTGGCTTCAATGTGCATCTGTGGGTCTTTTCACCCATTTTATGGTCCTTCAGGTGATTACCAGTAAAGTAACAACACATCTTTCCTCAATTACACCCAAGATTTGAGGAATTATTCGATTCTAGAGCACAAACGCTGCAGGACGATGCAAACATTTAAGGGAAAGAGCAACAATAATAGTGATGATTGTGCAAGTGTGTTTAGAAATGCTCATTTATAGACGTTTCAGCCATTTTAGGAAAGCCGTGCATGCAGAAATACACTGCAGCTGTTATTTGATGGGTTAATTTTGTCTTGGTAAACACATGCTGAGATTCCTCATGTTTTCTTGGGGAGTTTGGGCCGTTGGAGGCCAGGGGATTTGAATGAGAACATTTAATATAATGTTGCTGTGCACAGATGCTTTTCTAGATTCATAAAGCAGTAAAACATTTCTTCGAAACTGTGATATTTATCTTGTTTTAAAACAAAGAAAGCGCACTACCTCTACTGCTGGAGGAATCAGAGGTCACAGTCCGTTCCGCATCCTATGTGTCATGTTTCAGACAGACACAGAACGTATAAAACTCGATACTCTCAAACTCTCCTGATGCTTGGATCCGCAGGTCGACGCGCATATGATCAGCCGGGAGGGAATCTGATGAGATCCGCACGCTGTTTAGAGTTAATGAGAAACAGTTTGACATTAGTGCGTATCTGAGCCGAATCACACTTCTACAGCATTACAAAGAGCAATGAACCATGAAACCAGAGTAAAACTCCTCTCTTAGGACCTGTCACTGTGTGTGTGTGATGTGAATATCAATGCAGCTCTTTCTGCTCGGGCCCCTTTGCAATGGTACAGATGGACCCTCAAATAACGAGCATGCTATACGCAACTTATAAATTTGATAAAAACAGTGCAAGCCAGATAAATTAAGCATCATTATTGTGATGAAAAATAGATTAGGAATTGGCTCAGATGCATACAGGCTTCACGTCACATCTGTTACTATATCATGCTCTTCCCATGCAATTACAATGAAGCTGTCAAGCATCAAAAAGGACACAAAAGCAACCAAAACACTCATGAGAGTAGTCCTTGCGACGTGTGTGCTAGTTTTCTGAAATCATACGATGTGTGAGAAACAAACAGAAATGTGACGCATTTACTGAAAATCAAAGAATCAGAGATGTCAGATTCATGAACGAATCATTCGTATGAGTCAAATCTTTCCAATTATTCAGTTGATTCAGTTCACAAATCCATTCATTTAACTGAATCAATAATACAACTCTATGATTCTATTACATTTTATGGTGCTTTTGTGTCCTTTTTTCCAGCATTAGTATTATGAAGCTACAAAGCCTGTGTTTTCGAAGAAAATTGTACAGCATATGTTTTATATGAAGACAAAATTAGCTCAGAATTGTCCTTTTTTTTCATCGGTTTCGGTCACATTCTACCAAACGGTCTCTTTCTTTCCACACACACACCTCTTCAGTCACACATCATCAAACACCAAACAGAGAATTAAGCTCACCCTCATGTTGTCAGTCGAACTCTCTCTTTCTCTACCTCGCTCGATCACTCTAACATAAACACACAGAGAAACACGCATAAGGGGCTCCACAAGTTTAACCACGACTGAAAATGTGTCTATTTTGCAGTCTTTTCTAATTCAGTTCAAAAACTTAATGACAAATTATCACTGTAACAATTTGACAAATACAATCGAAATTGTTATGAACAAAGCCTGATGATCGTGTTATCCAGCATTATTTCAGAATCTTCCAGCATCTTGTGCTTCAATAGAAGAAAGAAAATCGAACTTTTTCCACAAATTAGCATCTTACCAATGCAGATATATAGAAACTGCCCAACAGAGTACCTAAATATATAAACACACACTTTCTCCACATTGACTTACGTTGAATTACGTTTTATAAGTTCATGCGTTCTTTGGGAGTCAAACCCATAACCTTGTCGTTGCGTTTGGACCCTATCGTATGTATACGCACATACTCTGGTTGTGTGGTCTTTTTGTGTTTACACAGTGTGTGTGTGTGTGTGTGTGTGTGTGTGTCCATGCCACAACATAATTTACTGACGGATCTGTCAGATTCTGAGGAAAAGAATACACATCCCTCTGATTCACACACACACACATTAGGAGCATGAGACAGAAATAGGTGAAAGGTTTAGTGAGACAAAAAGAGACAAATATGGACAGAACTGAGGAAAGGGATGGTATGTGGGGGGAGAATAAAAACGACAGATAGTGGCTGAAGATAAAGAATGTCAAAGTAGAGATGAAATATATGAGCGAGTGAAAGAGAGAGAGAGATGGATCACAATGAAGAATGGATGTCTCTTACAGAATGACTAAATAAGGAGAGTCGAGTTTCTCCATCGTGCGTGCGTGCGTGCGTGCGTGCGTGTGTGTGTTGCTCATGACACAGAATTCATCAGAACTGAGACATAACACAAGTGCGCAAACTCAGATGGCAACTAAATACTCTTCATATCTAAAGGTGAAGTGTCATTTTTTTCCATGCAAAATACTTTATTGTATCCCAGTGTCAAATAAAAAAATAACGTCGGTCTCTATAATCTTTCATCAAATTATAACTTGCTCCGCCTCTGAAATGACTTTCCTTTTTGTTTGACATCACCAGGGCTTCACAGACTAATGGATAATGTTACTGACTCATAGCCAAGCAAATATGCAGGCACTGTTTTAGCAAACTCACATTCAGGTCCAGGGCTATTATCATTAACTAAAATGATTCAAAATGTTTGTTAACTGAACTAAGGTTGAAATAAAATATGAATATTAGATGAAAAACTTAAACTAAATGAAAGTTAAACATGTTGCCTTGTCAGCTAACTGAAAAAAGTTTAAGTAGAAGCATGAAAATTACAAATCGAAAATAACTAAATATAATCTAAAACTGAAATAAAAATGAATGAAAACTAAATAGTAATATTTAAAAAAGAGCAAAAAGTCACAAAATTACTCAAATTAAACTAAAATTAAAAAAGGAAAACTGAACATATAAAAATGAATGAACTATAAATAATGATAAAATATCACTGTTCAGGTCTGACTTTAGTCAGGATGAAACTCACACTTCTGAAGATCCAGTCAATTCCCGATGGATACAATTTTCTTATTAAATATCTTTTTCATTTGGAAATACATCACATTATTGGAGTTAAATGGGTTGTGAATGCAATTTCATGTTGATTTTAATGGGAGATAGAGAGAGAGGAATTGGTCTCGACAAACTAATCCAGAGAATAATCACACGTGTATTGCTCATCTGACCCCCTTCTTTAATTAATACCAATTTTCCTTTAAGAACTTCAAGATTGCAATAACAAGATACGACAGAGAGACGTGCTCGCTGTCAGCATAAATGAATCCAAAGAAAACAGATTATCAGTGTTGATTTTCCTTACCACATAGTGAAGAAGTTTTGATAACTACAGATTTCTGCACTGTACATTTCTTTCCATGATTTAAGTTTTATTGAGTCTCAGGCCCAGTCTATTTTCCCCCCACTTGTTTTCTGGTCCAGCAGGTGAAAATGGTGCATCTGATACCTAAAGTAATGTAACAGCATACTCCTCAACAACACACGTGATTTGAGGAACCATTCATGTCTGGGAAGTTTTTCAATGGTTAAAACTTATTAAAAAGTCACATAGAGCAAGCTGACAAGTTAAATGCATGACTAAATGTGCGAGTGGAAAGAAAACCGCCTGGTAAAAGAATGCAGCCACTGCGACCAGACCCTTCCCTCACACACACAGACCAAACCCAGCCCTTACTAAAACAGCAAAACCCGATCCTTAACCACACACACACACTCACAGAAAAACACACATGATGACCGGGTCATGCATTGATTGCTGATTTGAAAATAATTAGAAGATAATTTGAGAATCTGTGCAGTAATACATCATGCGTTGCATCACAGCTCTGTAATTTTACTGTGGGGACAGAAATGCTGCCAGTCGTTCACTAAAACTAATCGGGCAAAACCTTTCTTTAAAAACGTCCTGAAAGATGAAAAAAAAAAAAAAAAGATGCATAAATAAAGACATGTATTTTTTTATTCTAAAAATGCAAAGAAATAGTTTTGGTTGGTCTGTATTCATTATAATTCATTTTATATGAAGTCATCATTTAGATATGCAAATGTGTCTGTGGTTTAGGGGTTTTAATGCATGGGCTTCGTGTAAAATAACACGCAAACTTTCACAATCTCACACATAAGTGCACATCTTTTTCCATTTCACAACAAAAATTTCACCGCTAGGCATCACCAGCTTTGAACTCAGGAGGGAAACCACAAATAATTTTATGAAGTGTTCAAACACTGGCAAACACATTTCATGCACCACACTTGCTCGCACACACATACGCACGTACAAAGTCATAAGGTGCCAAGGCTACAACAGATTGAATCATTTAACACCGCTCTCCGACTGGACACACTCCGTGTGTGTGTGTGTGTGTGTGTGTGTGTGTGTGTGTGTGTGTTTTTAGGAACACCCCAAAAGTTATACAGCACAGGATTTGCACGGCACAGAATAACTTCAAGCACACAAACTCCGCCAATTACACTTTTACAGCTGTCACCTGCTATTTTATGACCCCTGACCTCTTGACATGCTTAAAATCACATGCATATACAGACAGACAAAACACATACTCGAGGAGCTATGCGTGACTCTTAAAGGGGTTGTATCATACATTTTTGTATATATGTATGTTTTTTAAAATTACACACACACACATACATATATATATACAAATATATATTAACCTAAGATCCACTTAAGTATTAGTAGTTTATTTGCACCAAAAGCAGTAATCAGAAGGCTGTGGAAGTGTGCAACACTTAAAAAAATGTTTTAAAATCTGAAAGTTGCTTTAATAGTACATTAAACTCTTTCATCTCAAAAAATCAAGCTAAACAACTGATATGACCCTTTTTAAATGTAAGTCCAGTAAAGCAGTTAAAGTTAGTGGAGGGACTTTTTTGTTGGCGACAAAAGAGAAAGGGTGTCATGTGCGCGCACGCACACACACACACACACACACACAGATGAAGCTTCCTGTGCTGGAAGAGGAGGAGAGTGAAATATAGGCCATGTTGACTTTAGCTGCTAAGGTGGACCGAGCCAAGACTGTGTCAGATCCAAACCTTTCACCGAAGTTGCTCTAATGTTGCCCGGTGCTGAAAATACGGCCCAATTATGTCTTAAAATGCAGGAGGAAAGGAACATAATGCTTAAATGTAATGCAAAATTATATGCATACAGTGCATCATCACAAAAGTGCATGATGTATGCTACAGTAAATAAAGAAAGAGTTCACTCAAAATTTTGTCATCAGTTACTCACCCTCATGTCATGGGAATTTCTTCCTTCAATGGAACACAAAAGATGTTTCGAGAATGTCCGAGCTGCTCTTTGCAATACAATGAAAGCATACAGTGACCAGACTCCAAAATGGACAAAAAAAGCACCATAAAAATATCATAAAGTAGTGCATATGACCAGTGCACTATAATCCAAGTCTCCTGAAATCAAATGACAGCTTTGTTTGAGGAACACCTGCATTAAAGCATCTTAAATATTCCATCTTTTGATGTAACATTCCATCCTTTCCATCATAACAATCTCATAACATTGGAGAACCAATGGTGTTCAGTATTATAGACATCATTATTTGAACACGCAATGCAAATTCATGTACACTCTTAAAAGTAAAGCTCGGTGTTTTGCAGTGGTGCCATAGAAGAACCATTTTTGGTTGAACATTCTCGGTGAAACACCGAACTGTCATTCGGTGAGTAAATTTGACAGAATTCCTTTTTTTTTTTGTTGAGAAACTATTCCTTTAAATATATACCGCTGGAAGAGAGAGCTGGGATGCGGTAAGTAGGTCAAGAATCAAACTGACACACGGTTTAGTTATCAGATCTCTCTCCCTGTCCGCTACACCTCTGACTTTACTGTCAAACACAGTGCTTTTCGTTTTGACAGCTCTGAAACGTCTGATTTTTTCCCTTTTCTCGAGGGCCGGCAGTGGGCAGGATAAGTAAACTGAGCTGGAGTAAATGTTTTTCCCAAAGTTTAACTCTACAGTTCATCTGTGACCCCGGGGAAACCAGAGAGGGGCTTCACTGCAATAAAATCACAGGAATCCACACAAACGTGTGTGTGCCACGTCCATCGGGGGAAGCAGAAATCTCGACGGTGTCACGCATACCTAAGAAGACTCGTGAAGAGTTGCTTTGCTTGGCATCGCTCACGGACTGGGAACGAAACAGAGTTTGGAGCGCTCTGTTAAATCACGATTAAAAAAAAGGGAGAGAATTTAGACTGTAATTGCCCACCTGTGCACAGGACCCTCATCATTGTCTAATTAAAATAATCTGATTGTTCAAAATTATAAAAATACAACAAAAACACACTAGCTAATTTGAAAAACATCACTGCTTTAACTTATTAAGTTGGTGGTTAATTAATAACAATTAAACAGTTTGCATAATAACTGTATATAAATTAATCATTTAAATCAAGTCATCTGAAATTCATTATTCCAGCCCTTATAAAAAATGTACCATAGTAGCCACTGAAGCTATAGTTACTATAGTAAATTCATAAAAATGTATACAGTGTAAAAAGCTTTTATAATCTTTTTAATTCTTTTTTATGTTAATATTACGCTATCAAAGTTTTACTGTACACTAGTAAATATGATTTTGGGGGGAAACTATGGTTACCAAGGTAACTTTTCATGGTAACACTTAATTTTAAGGTGTCCTTGTTACACGTTACATGTACTTACTATTATAATAACAATTAATTATGCATAATTACATGCAAGTAACCCTAAGCCAAACCCAAATCCTAACCCTAACCATATAAGTACATGTAGTTAAGTAATATTACTCAGTACTTATATGTATAATTGCAATGTAACAAGGACACCTTAAAATAAAGTGTAACACTTTTCATAAATTAATTAATGCACTCAGTGTCATTTCTAACTGAACACATGCATAGCTATAGAGTTGTATACCATGTATATCTTTATTTATAATTGCAAAACGCATGATGCAGATACTCCAACACTTGAACTCACCGGAATCTCTGAATCCCGTCTGAAGCGCTGAACCTCATCCAAGGGCGGATGTGAGGAAAATAAATCCAGATCGGTTGTGATTTAATCCTGTTGTCTGTTGGTGAATGAAACTCACAGATGCAGCAGCGGTCAGTTCCGTTCATGAGACAGACACACACTGACACACACACACGCACTGAGGGAGGGAGAGAGAAAGAAAGAGAGCCAAGGTGGGAAACTCGACTGTGCCCCCTCACACACACAACTCCAGACTCAAAGTGCATTAGAAAACGAGGCTCTGTTTCAAAACCTAGTAAGCCACATACGTAGACAGCATTTCGGTGCATCATAAGCGCGCGGCGTTTTGGGGTACCGTAGTCGCGTGCACCATTTTTGGGCTACATATGAGCACTGTGTGGCATCGAGTCGGTTGCGCGCGCCAATAATGCCATAAACATGCTATCTTAGCAGCAACTCAGTTGGTTTACTGACACATCCAATGGGTGGTTGGGGTCTGGCATAGTGGCAGCCAGCATTTGTTTTATATTCATGTAATTATTTAGCAACCGCTTTTGTCAATAAACGACTTACAAAAGAGGATTAAACACAAGCAAGGACGACGATATCAGTACCAACAGTTAAGGTCTTTAGTATTTTAGTTCAGCACAGGCGCCTGTAGGTGCGCGTTACGCGCCTGTAACGCCTTTTGAACGTTACACGCACCTATGCTGTCTGTCTAGGAGTCGCTGTGTGTGGTCGGGGAAGTATGCGAATTTGACTTTTAGGGGGTTTCATTTCGGCTCTAAGAAGAATTTTAAACGTGCTGTCAATACAAAGATCATTTTCGCACGCAATCTCAGCGAGGTTCGTCTCGCACTGTATAAACTACTTTGGTTCACAGTCAGTTATCTTAAGAACTTTAAAACAAAACTGTTTTAAATGAGTGAGATGGAAACCTATAATGATAGATAATGACAGAATTTGTCGACTTACAGCGCGAACATTTTCGCAGTGGAAGAGAGCGATGTACTGTCGCTATGGTTACCTCCTCACCCCAGATGGCACAGGTACGTCTGCCAGATGTCTGTTAAAGATCGCTTCATCTGGAAAGCATCTGCTGTGTTCAAACATCTTCGATAGACGTCTTTAAGATGTCAGTTTTACATACATTCTAAATTATAAGCATCTTAAAGACTTCTTCTAAACGTCTATTTGACATCTGATAGGAAACGTCCTATAGACGTATCGCAGATGAGCAAACACTCTAAAAAAACGTCTTGCAGATGTCAAATAGCCATCTCCGTAATGAATGTGTGCTGTCAGGGACGCTAGCGTGATTTCTTTAACAGCTATTTTTCATCAGGTTCGCTCTAACTTGTAATCTAACGTTTATTGATACTAAAACGTTTTAACCTTGAGAAACACCTAAGCCTAACTAATAACTTTTACTAAGACCGCTCGACCTTTTGTTTTGACCTCTGAAGGGGGTGGGGGCGGGTGAGGAGGTCAGACCCAAATAATTCGCACCCTCTGGCATCAGGCGTCTCTGCGCACTCTGCTGATGTTCCGACGCTTATTTGACACTGCTGTTTTTTCTCCCCATACTATCTAATGGAGTAATTCAAGAGTCGTTGATTCCAGTAAATCATCGGAAACATTCGGTGTGTGATGGAGAATCCAGATGGTGCGCGTAATGAGAGCGTAAAATACGAGACAAACTCAAGGCAGATGCGGGTGGGTGGGTGTGTGTCTGTGTGTCCTAAACAGATCAATTATTATAATCATCCCGCAACGCCCGAGTAGCAAACCGGGATGCATCACGGAATTGATCCTAAACACTTGATGAATTGTACTCATCCGGTGTTGAACATCTCCCAACATCACGTGATCAAAATACTTTATCAGTTGTCTTTATCCACAGTAGTGTTGGGGAACCCAACTAGTTGGTAGGTTATCTATAAATAAAACGTCTCAGGTTACTTATGTAACCATGGTTCCCTGAGTAGGGAACGAGACACTGCGTCCTCTAGGGGTCGCTATGGGGAACGCCTCGTCGTCTGAAGCATACATTGAAAAAACACTAACTCGTTGGCCAGCGACAGCCATGACGTCACTACCGGTGCGACTGGTGTCAAATAGCGATGACACGGATGCACACACCTTCTAAATGCTCTGCTAGTGCTCGCTTTTTTTCCATAATAAATAGAGATAGCTCTTACTTTTTCCTTAGAAATGCACACTTCAAACAAAACAGTTGAATGATGTGTGCTCCCGGCGCCTATTTATACTATAGTCGCACCGGTAGTGACGTCATGGCTGTCGCTGGCCAACAAGTTGGTGTTTTTTCAATGTATGCTTCAGACACGGGTCACGACGAGGCGTTCCCCATAGCGACCCCTAGAGGACGCAGTTCGAAGTTCCCATGAAAGGGAACTAACCTTTTATTGTGTTGCATCATGGAAACAGTGGAAGTTCTTGAAAAATCATTTTGCTTTCATCCTCCTGAATCTGTATGTAAACTACTGTTCTCTTCAAGTTGCAAAACTGTTTGCTTGGACTCCATCTCGTGCATTTGAGCCATTTAACATGATACAGATCATCTCCAATGAAACGTTCATCACAAGAACATTTTGAACTCATCCAAGACAGTGTACTTGAAAATAATAGTCCAGGAATTTTCCAAAACAGTAAGTGCACCTCAAAGCACACCAGAACATCATTAAAAAGACGAGTACATGTGGAACAACTATGATTCTGCCCAGAACGGCATGGCCATCCATCCTCCAGAACTGAGTGTCTGAGCAGGAGGAAACGTTGTGAAGGACACCAAGATGCTTACGGGAACTCCTTCATGACAGAGATGACTGTAACTATGCACAAGGCAATAGTTCAAATACTTTAAACTCAATAAATTAATGGAAATTCTGCCTTCATTTACTCACTCTCTTGACATTCCAGATCTGCATGATGTTCGTTTTTCTGTGAAAGACGAAAGATGATGTTTAGCAGATTTTTTACACTGCATTTCTGCATACAATGAAAGTGAACACTTTAAAAATGACAAAAGCGCCTAAAACTTCATAAAAGAATATGGCTTCTTCTTAAAGTTATTTAATAGCTTTGAACGCGGAACAGACACAAACTGTCATTATTTGCATCCTTATTATTTATATATATGTATATTCAAATACTGTATAAGGCATCAAGGTGTGACACACCAGATTAGATGATCAATGATGTCGAAAGTCATTGTTTTTTTGGGGATCTACTAATAATTATTGTGATGCACTAAATTTGAATATGCACAACAGTCCTTCAAACCACTATAGGTTTTGCCCATTTGTCTGTAAGAAGTTTTTAATCATTTCAAATAATAAAATGTAGTATGACCACTTATTCTTTTATATATTTGAACAAGTACATGTCAGAATAAGTATGTTGTTTCATTTTTATGTAAATATACGTTATGTTGAAAAAAGATGGGACATTATTTCACCCATATTTTGACATTTTATTTTCACAAAAGTTATATGAAACATTGAAGTATACACTTTACTTGCATTCAATGTATATATATATATATATATATATGTGTGTGTGTGTGTGTGTGTGTGTGTGTGTGTACAATAGCAATTTAAGAGATCTCCTTTTGTGTTTTACAGAAGAAAAATTAATCTGCATGACCTGACTAATTTTTTTTAGGGAGAATTATTCCTTTAATAAATCTGGCTTGCATTAAAAGGTACCATTTTTTACTGGATGTGAGAGACTCAACAATTTAGAAAAGGATTAAATAATCTAATAAGCCTACAAACCTCAGAAAAAGTGCATTACTCACATGACACCATTCCTACAGCGAAGCATCGTGCTTTTGTTGATATTTCTCTGCGGCACAGACTGGAAAACACTTCAAGAAAGAAGAAAAAATGATTGGAACCGGGGAAAAAAATGCTGGAGGAATCTGTGCTGAGCACTGGAGGATGATTCGCCTTTCAACACAACAGTAAACCAAAACATACAGCCAAAACCACACTGAAGTGGCTTCAGACCAGGAGGTTAATGTCCTGGAGAGGCCCAGACTAAACTCAATCCAACTAAGCATCTGTGGAATTGACATTCATATTCAATTACTTTGTTTTTTGACTTAATTCGGTTTTTCTAGTATGGTAGGATTGATGTTGATGAGTGGGAAAACTCCCAGTGAAATCCTCATGCTGTAACACAATAAATAGTAGAAGATGGTTTATAGGCACTGTATGGCAAACAGATTTGTGCCCTTGGTTTTAGAGTGACTGGTAGCACCGGCGTGGATCACGCATGTGGCTGCCACAGAATCCAAGTATTTTTCATAATGTGCCGTGAAATAAAGTAATTTCTCAATGAATGGTGTCCTGTGTAAGCCGCTCAACATTCCTGTGGTATTTATGGCACCATTTTACTCCGATGAGTGTGTCACACTGTGTGAGAGGTCAAGAAATAAAAGAGACAGAAGCAGTCTCCTCCAGCCTCCACACATTCACACCTGCATACGAACCTTTCGGAACGATCTGTTTGTGCTTCTCTGGAAACTCCACTCACACCAGTGTGTGAGAGAGACACCAGTGTGCAACATGTGCACGAGAAATATTTGAGTCCACTGCGCCACCTGCTGTCTGTTTAGCACACTCACACGTCCAGATTGGGTCCCACGAGTGTAGGTTAACCTTTCATTATCTCTGCGGGAGGGGAAATAGCAATTCTGGTGTAGTTAAATAGTTAACACCAGAGAAGTAAAATATTTGTCTAAATTATAGAGAAGGCCGGGGCTAGTTGTCACAAGGGGTGTATTTAAGGGTTTGTTTTCTCCAGCAGTGGCTCGTGCTGTGGTTTCAAACACCTAGAGCCGTAAATTAGGATTTTTATTAATTCTGTCTTTGAACTAAAATTTCAGAATATTGATCATTTTAAATCATTTAAAAATAATCAAATAAATAGTTAACAAAATATATTTTAAATATATGCTAAATACACAGTGAGAAATATATTTCAAAATGAATTTCAGGGGCAAGAAAATACATTTCCAATCTTACAGTAGCTGACATTTAGGCTAACTGCAAATTTGCATGGAATAAT